TCTGATCCGGTCGATGAGATCAGTCCTGGCTGTACAATGAATTCGTTTTTTTTTCACTCAAAAATAGGAAGATCCGTATTTGGAAGAGAACTTTGTTGATTGTTTATGTCATTCCTAACTGAAATGGGAAGTCTAGACAAGTGAGGGAAAACGAGGGATTCCCCCAATGACGTTTTGTTTGATTTGTTGAAGAGAAACCGTTGATAATCGAGTAGTTTCGTTCTTATCTTCTTCTTCTTCAGGTTTATGTGAGAAGACGACGTCAAGCTGAAGAATGACACGTGGGGTTCAGAATGCACTCTGTGTGTGTGTCGTCGTCATATGCTAGGTAATTGGTGTATAAGTATTTATATGCTAGGTAATTGGTGTATAAGTATTTTTAGAATGTGGTCCAGAAGTTCGTACCAAACCAAACTGATCAAGTTTTTTTCTACATAAACTGGGCCAATATCAAGTTCATTCAACAGTCCATGAGCGATCATTTGAACTCAAATGACGGTTTTTTCCTCAATTTCTCAGATGTTCTTCTCTTTGATCTTTTTGATTCCCTTCCTTTTTAAAGGACTTTTTTCGTTGAAATGTTCCTAACGTTACCGTAAAACCTGTAATAGAAGGGTCCCCCAAACTGGTAAGCTTGAGCTCAATTATCTGGGTTCCTGTCAAAGATATCAAAAAAGGCAAATTTGTAATATCTTTCACAGGAATCGAGATAATTTATCTCAAACTTTCCAGTCTGGGGGCATTTTTATTACAGGTTTTACGGTATGTATTTCTATAATATCACTTCGAAAAAATTCAGAAAAAAAATCTCAAGATCACCCGTCGATGAAAAATTATTTGCAATAATATCAATGAAAATGTATATATTTTAGAACATTTTAACAAAAAATGTTGGTCGGAGCCACCTTTAAAGTATTCCTCCTCGATTTCTTAGATATTCGTCTCTTTAATCTTTTTGATTCTCTTTCTTTTTAATAATCTCTCCATTTCTTATCAATTGATCGTTCTTCGGCTTGTGATTTACTGTAATCATGCAACAGCTTCTTACAATTTTTTTTTCGAGTTAGTTCTTGATCCCACCTATTTTTGTCTGATTTCTCTGCAAAAGTACTCATTTAAACACAGATATAATTGGATGTTCTCTCTCCGAAACCACGCGAATCTTTTTAACCATTCTCTGAGTGAATATCATCACCGTTTTTACAAACGATGCCCCCATGTGACAGCATCGTGCCTCCGCCTCCAGAATAATGTGTGTTCTTCGATCAAAGGGACCGTATAAGAGAAGTCTTCGGATCATCGAATCGCTTCTTCTCGTTTCATTCCTACCACTCGGATTATTTTTTTTATTATCACCCACATTTTGAAAACCGTCGTGGTGCCTTTGTTGGAGCAGCTGCCGATTGTTCTCCTTTTTGAAAAGTGCAAGGAATGTCACTGGTTTTTGTAGTGAATAATGTGACCCACTGTTCATTGAGCCGATTACGCTCAATTTTCCTACTAAATCTGGTTATTCCTAATAGATCAAATTTCCCAAATAATAACAAATTTAAGGTTTCGAGGTTCCTGCATTACTGGGTGAGTACGGTAGCTCCACGACTTCTTTCTTTTCGGTTTACTGTATTTCGTAAAGAAAGTCTATTCGAGTCTGACTTCAAATATTTGGAAAAAAAAGTCAAAAGACCATCTTTTGATTGTTTGCTCAAAAATCGAATATCAACAATGGAGCAAAATGTTCAAGTAAACGGCAACACAGTTCACCAAAAGTGTCTCACTGAAGAACTAAATTGTGATTCTTCCCAAAAGTTAAAAAAAAATAATAAATGGAAATTTTGGAAACCGTACTACCGAGCCAACTACCATTGAACGTCATCCCTAACTTTTAATTTTGAGCCAATTCACCAAAAACACTCTAACAGAAGGCCACCCAAACCGTCAAATTTAACCTCATATATCTCAGTTTCTATAAAATATATCAGAAAGTAGTCAACTGACAAAGTATTGTTGATATTATAATGAGTTGACTACTTTTTGATATCTTTCACAGGGAATGAGATATATAGGCTCAAAATTGGCGGTTTGGGTGGCACTTCAAGTGTTTGTGGTAATTTTTAAATCAGTGGTGGTGTTTTTTTTAGTTTCGGCAATTTTTTTGGTTTCAGGCCTTCTTTGAGAGTTCATACGACATCTCAGCTTGTGTGAAAGATATCAAAAAGTGGTCAACTGACGAAATATTTGATTTTGTGATAAATATTTTGTCAGTTGACGACCTTTCGATATCTTTCACAGCGAATAAGCTATATAAGCTCTAAATTGAACGGTCGGTAGCCGTTCTATTAGAGGTCTTACGATAATTCAAATACCGTAAATTTGTACCTCTCCCAAACCTTGAATTCTTAGTTTACCCTTTATGTATCAAAATTTTAATTTTGGGCCTCGAAATAGATTATATTTCTTTTAAAAATTCAAACACGACCTCTCTCACTTATTCTTTCTTTTTCAATTCCCGACACCGTGTACTTCGTACCCAAAAATTTGCTCTCTCTCTCTCCGTCCTCCAGCTTGATGGAAAGGCATGCTTATTATACCGCGCGGAAAGATCATTTTGTACTTTGTACCCCCATGGAGGGCATACCGTAATTCAAAAGGGCTCCCCGCCTTTCAGTATATTTGTTCCTTTCCTTCTCACCTTTTTTATTTGCAAGACGACACCACAGTCCACTGGCTCGCCGAGCTCTTTTTTGCTCCCGAGGGAATCATTTCGTTTCGTTGCTGTCCACTACAGTCTGCTATGTTCCCACTTTTACCCCGCGCGGGAGATCCCCCATCGCGATTTTTTGCTCTTCGAGGCCATTTCTCTAATGAGTCACTAAATCACTAAAAGTACGCAAAAGTATAGACTCTATATTTGTTTTTTTTCAATATCCAAACTGTTACGGAAGAGAGTTAGAAGTCCGAAACGAACAAACATGTTGCAAGAGGTATACGGTATCTCCCTCGCTTTTTTCGCGCTAAATTTTGGTCTCTGACCAATACAAAAGAGCTCCGGGCGTGCGACCAACATGTGCTTTGTTACTTTAGTTTTTGCGTAAAGCGAGGTATTTACTATTTAGAAAAAATGGACAGAATTTATTATCTTCAATTTTGAGATATTGAAAAAAAAATTGTAAGAGATAATGAAAGAGGAGGAATCTGGAGTAGAAGGCATAGTGGGAAGAAGAAAAAAGAATCGACATGCTAAATTTTTATAATGACAGATTAAAAATATACATGAGTAAAATTAGGAATACTGCTTTCAGATTAGCTTGACAAATTCTACCCGAAATACCGTATTCCCTATAATAGAAGCCCACCCCAACCGTAAACTTTGAGCTCAATTATCTGGATTCTTGAGTAAGATATCAAAAATGTGTCAACAGATAAATTATTTATCATAATATTCCCAATATTTTAATTGAAAAAGTACGATATCTTTCACAGGAATCGAGATAATTTAGCTCAAAGTTGACGGTTTTTATGAGCTTCTATCAAAGGGAATACGGTATTCAAACATTTTTTGAGTCAGTTTCAGAATCTTTCCAGATTCCGAACTAAAAATTAATAATTTTTAAAATGATGGACTTTAAAAATACCTGTGATAGAAACTTCACTGGTTATGAATCATCCATCTACCGTAAGAACTCTGACAGAAGGCCACCCAAACAGCCAACTTTGAGCCCATATATCTCGGTTCTAGTAAGAGATATAAAAAAGTGGTTAACTGACAAAATGTTTATCATAATTTACTCTATTTCGTTTATCATTGGTATAGTTGTTCCGACCAAATCACAACTAAAAACCCATTTTTTCGGCCCTCCTGTTGTATCCAAACAGTTCGATCGACGCGAACTTTTGCAAAGTATAAAGAGAAACGTTTGTCCAGCTACAGTAGTCCCGCGATTTTGAAAAGCATGGCTAGACGAGCACAATAGGAAGTAAATACTTTTCGCACGTGGAGAGAGAGGAAGATCGGTGTCCTTCCCCCGACGTCTTCCGCCCCCTAAAAGAATACTTCACCTCATTTCATACTCTTTCGATTATTTCTGAGAATTCCCACGTTCAGGAGACACTTATGTACAAACATCCTCCAGGTGAGTAAGACACATTTGTACCCTTCAGAGAAACTGAGTCACCGTCTGGCTGAAAATGAATAAGGTAAATCCCATAGCATTATTCGAAGACCGCCCTTATCTTCGGTTGTCTAATATTCAAAGATCTGGATCTCAGTTTCTTATTTCTGATCTATAAGTATATCCAGAACAACAAAATATTGCTTATTGCTTATATCAGTATTCTCACTTTCTAAGAATCTATTTTTCTACTTGCTTATGAGCACGTGTTTTCTCTGACTTCCGCTTTGGATTAGATACTTTTAAAATTCTAAATTCATATTTGACATAATCCAGGAGACAAAATAGACATTTAATCAGATGATATTATGTATTTAAATCGCCCCGCGTCACTTTAATCGTTCTTCTTTGGTGTAGTACGGTACTATTCGCTATAACGGAAGTTTCGTTTTGCCACGTCATGCTTCAGAACAAAAAACAAAAAATGTACCCGTTTGAGTCGACGTCTCCGTCCGTCTTCATACTATTTTACATGGCAACAAGCCGCCGAAAAAAAAATATTCAAAACAATGGTGAAGGAGACGCAGACTACGTCTCTATTTGTGATTCATCAGCTTCTTCTTTTTTTTTCTCCCTTTCTGTCGTCATCAGCTCCATTTTCTATAGCTTCCTTCATATCGTGTGCTTGATATCTGATTTGTAAGCGTGTATGTCTATCAGAGAGTCATACCTCCTCGTCATAACACCCACTATCTTATCCTTCTCCTCTCTCACCCCTTTCTTCTGCTCGCCGCCTCATAATCCAGACAAATCTCCAATATGCTACTCCCCATGAAATCTTCCTTCTGCCAATTCAACTCGACGTATTCTACTATATTTCCAGAAACTACAATGCGTTTAATGTCGAAAGAAATGCCCTCTCAAAGTCTTGTGGCCAATCACAAAGCGAGTATTTTTTGCGCAGTTTGCGGAGATACTGTAGGAAACAGTGAGAGAAAAAGTTTAACTTACTGGTTTACAGGCGCTTGGGAAACATTATGGAGTCAATGCTTGTAATGGATGTAAAGGATTTTTTCGACGGAGCATTTGGAAAAATCGGACTTATGCATGTAGATATCAAGGGAAATGTGGGGTGGCAAAAGGTATGGAAACTCTCTGAATGGATAGGGAAAGTACATTTTTTTAATTTTGTTCTAGAAGTATTTTTTAAATTAGCCAGTTATAGAATCATACTCCCAGAAACCTAGGTTTAAATATTTTGAAACAAAGAGTTGTGGAAGAGAATGACTACTTTCTACAGACGCCCACCTTTACCATCAACTTTAAGCTCAATTATCTCGATTCTTGTAAAACATAGCAAAAATCTGTCAACTGATAAAGTATTGGGGATATTATGCTAAATTATTTATTAGTTGACAGATTTTTGATATCTTTCATAGGAATCGAGATAATTGAGCTCAAAATGCGCGTATAGAGTAGGTTATTAGAGCAAATTATGGTATTTAAGATATTAAACTATCAAGCTACAGTAATCCAAATTATCGAAAACGGGCTACAGTAACCTAAATGCATTCTAAAAAATTCTAGAATTCGGAAAAGGACAATTTAACTTAACAATCACCAGATCCGGTCTTATTGAATATTTAGAAACGACAGTAGCCCAAACCAATCCAATCCCAAGAGTGACCCAAATTAATTATATTCGAAATCGGTATTATAATAGTCCAAAATGTTTCAATATTCTCAACATTTCCAGTTACAGTAATCTAGAAAAAATCTGATACCGGAATTCTAGAATCTCTTTTTTACCATCATCTGAACGATACTATCATTGAAAGATTTTCAAATTACTGTAGTTGAGAAAGAGGTCAAAATCACTTGATACAAAACGACCTTCTATGCATTTTCAAAAAATACGATTTTGAAAGAAAACCAAAATATAAAGAATTTTTTTTCGATGATCCTTGCTTCCCAGGTTTTATAGAAAAGTGCAATCGATCTTGTTTGATGAATCATTGAACGTTTTCAATAGGTTTAGGTTTTGAAAATATTATATTTGATAGATTGAAGTTATTCTCCTGGAATAACGGTTTATCAGTATCAAACGATCGGACACTGAAATGCTTTTTTTCAAACCTTATGAATAAATTTCAGAACAGCGCAATGCCTGCCGTGCCTGTCGACTTACAACATGTCTGAGAGTTGGAATGAACCCAAGAGCCGTTCAAGGAGACACTAGCGATTCGGCTTCAACGAGTTCTAGTCCCAACATGGTTTCATATGATTCAAAGATCTACACGAAGTCCGAGTATCTTAATTACTGCTGGTTTAACCAACGAATTTTCCACCTTTCAGGGAAGCAGAATGTCAGACTGAACTGTCAACCATCTCAAGTCATCCAACATCTCCAACAAATCTTCCTTTTGCTAGCTCCGCCTCGGCTTCTGCTTCTCCTTGCTCTTCGATTTCTACAGTACACTCACACTGCGTTGCAACAACACTTCCACCCAATCCTTCTTTACCGGTAGGCGTGGCCTAATAAGAAATAAATATAGTATGATAAATATGGGATGTTTCAGAAGTATGATCATCTCCTAATGACACTCACAAGAATATTCGAGCGTTGTGATGAAAATTCACCAGAACCACAACCAAATACATACTGTTTTGAATACGCATTCTACAATCCACATTGCATTTGTAACCGGACCAAACTGACTCCAACTGGGCAACGAGTTGCCACACTGCCAGAAGTTCTTCAAGATTTTCGAAGGATTTTCGTATTGTTCACAGATGTTTTATCGATACTTCCAGAATTTTCCCGACTAGATGCCAGTGATCGAGTGAGTTAAATCAATTTCTATTGTAAATATTTTGAAATGTTTTCAGATGGTGTTAGCCAAAAGTCGTTTTTCATTTTTCTACTGGTGGTTGACATGTTGTTGGACTGCAAAAGCTGGATGCCCTGGAGTTTGTTATGCAAATGGATCTTATCATCCGATTGACAAACAACTTCAAGCATTTCCAGATGTCAAGTAAGTTCGAAGAGTATGAAGGAAATCGTTTAATAAATGATTAAAGTTGTAGAGGCGTCACAGAATTGTCGGTGGAGACGGTATCAAAACCATTAGCCAACATCCATATAACAGATGCAGAAATATTGATTGGAAGTGTTTTCGCAATTTTTTATGAGTGTAAGTTCATCATAGCTTATAATCTTTGATTGAATTGTGGCTCCAATTTAGGTGTCTCTCATTTCTTTACACTTTAAACTAATGACATTTCTAACTTGGAGCCAATTTATCTTGGTCTCTGTGAAAGATATCAAATTGCGGTTAACTGACATTTATCAGTGAGGTTCTGACTCTTGTCAGATTCTGAACTACAAATTAAGTTGAACAAAAAAGTAATCATAACTTCACTGGTTATGATTCATTCGTCTACCGTAAAACATGTGATAATAGTAGGGAACCCACAGAGTCAAGTTTGCGCTCAATTATCACGGCTCCTATAAGAGATATCAAAAAGATGTCAACTGATAAAATATTTTTGATATTATAATAAACATTTTGTCAGTTGACCACTTTTTGATATCTTTTAGAGAAAATGAGATATGCGGGCTGAAATTAGACGGTTTGGGCAGTGTTATATTAGAGTATTTAGTTACGGTATTTCTTTTTTGTCTCTCGAGAATTTTCAAACTTTCGAAAAGTTTTGGCGTTGCATACAACTAAATTAAAGATTTCCAATGACTAAAGAATTTAAAACAAAAAAGCAATTATTTAATTCCAGTTCCGCTGCCTCCCAGAATGTCATATGCAAGCTCTCACATGTTGAGTGAAGCTCGCGATCATTACACACAATGTATGATCACGGTATCACCGTACGCCCATTCAGAAGTCAAAAGCGCTTCTAGATTGGCAGAGATATCATTGATCTTTTCATCGATTACGGTAAGAATATTTTTTTGATTGACACTTTTCAAAATGCAATTTTCAGAATCTCAAATACTTGACATCTGACAACATAGAGCTCTCGGATGTTCTGCATGTGATGGAAGTTGACCAATTATTCTCGGATGCTTTCGATGTACATCGACCAATTGATTAATCATCTTCTCTGAAACTCTTGAATGTACATAGACTCCTCAAATGTTCACATCAACGAATTCTTTCATTCTGTGATTTCTCGCGGACTGTGTGATATCATTTCTTATCGATCTTATTCTACTGCACACTTGTAATAATTTATTTTTCCCCATCGAAATCGTTTCTACCGCAATAGTTGCACATGAATTTTTCATTGTCTTCGAATTACACATAGTTCATTGACAAGGCACACAAAGATCTACAATACAAGATCCAAACAGCTAAAACCTTTTTACTGCGGTTTTGCTATTCAGGGATTTTTTTTCGGAAATCAGTTTCTGGTTGCACAGGCGGCAGATGACAACTACCGTAGACATCCCATAACACATGTCTAATTTTTAAAAAATCAGAAATCGAAGTTTAAGAACCGAGTGTTAAAATAAATTATTCATTATACAGAAAAAGCAAATATAATTTAAATATGAAGAACAGTTCTTCACTAGACTCGTATGTGGGATGGTGATGGGATTGGGATTGGAAAGAGTGGCTGGGTAAAGCAGAATTTTTGAACAAAGACCCGGAGAGAGAAAACGAGTACTTGGAGGTAACAAGAGTATTACAACTCGTCGTGGTCCTCAGCTGGCTCCTCGCTAGCTTGTTCTCCTTGGCCTCCGGCCGAGTAGAGCTTGGAGACAATTGGTTGAACGACGGACTCGAGTTCCTGTAAATTTCAAAATAATCAATAAACAACGCTATGTGGTTTTACCTTCTTCTGTTCTTTGTTCTCCTCTGTAGAGGCATCCTGGTTGTTTCCAAGCCATTCGATGGTTCTCTCAACAGCAGACTCGATCGAAATCTTGTCTTCGTCAGAGAGCTTTCCTCCTAGCTTCTCATTGTCACCGATTTGCGATTTCATCTGATAAGCATAAGACTCCAACTCGTTTCTTGACTCAACCTTTTCTTTGACAGCTTGATCATCGGCAGCGAACTTGTCGGCGTCGTTGATCATGCGCTCAATGTCTTCAGGACTAAGACGGTTATGGTCATTAGTGATGGTGATCTTGTTTTTGTTTCCGGTTCCCTTATCTTCAGCACTGACATGCAGAATTCCGTTGACGTCGATCTCGAATGTCACCTCGATTTGTGGGACTCCGCGTGGAGCTGGTGGGATTCCGGTAAGGTCGAAGTTTCCGAGTTTGTGATTGTCCTTAACCATTGGGCGTTCTCCTTCGTAGATAACGATGGAGACAGCACTTTGGCTATCGGCGGCGGTTGAGAAGACTTGACTTTTCTTTGTGGGAATGACAGTGTTTCTGGAGATGAGCTTAGTCATGACTCCTCCGACAGTTTCAATTCCCATAGTGAGAGGGTTGACATCGAGAAGAACGACGTCTCCTGTGTTTTCCACACCACCAATAACTCCTCCTTGCACGGCAGCTCCGTAAGCGACAGCTTCGTCAGGATTGATTCCACGAGATGGCTCTTTTCCGTTGAAGAAGTCCTTGATAAGTTGCTGAACCTTTGGGATTCTTGTGGATCCTCCGACCAAGACGATTTCGTGAACGTCAGTCTTCTTCATATCGGCATCTTCTAGAACCTTTTGGACTGGCTTAAGAGTGGCACGGAAGAGATCCATGTTGAGTTCTTCAAACTTGGCGCGGGTCAGGGTCTCCGAGAAGTCTTCTCCGTCGTAAAGGGATTCGATCTGTAAATTATATACTGAGTCTCTCACGTAAAGTCTTTCTTCTTACCTCAATCTTGGTCTGATGCTGGGTGGACAGAGCTCTCTTTGCCTTTTCAACCTCACGACGAAGCTTTTGAACAGCGCGATTGTCCTTGCGAAGATCCTTTCCAGATTTCTTCTTGTAGAGTTTGATGAAGTACTCCATAACACGTTGGTCAAAGTCCTCTCCTCCTAAGTGAGTATCTCCGTTGGTGGCAAGAACTTCGAAAACTCCGTTGTCGATAGTGAGAAGAGAAACATCGAAAGTACCACCTCCCAAGTCGAAAACGAGAATGTTTCTTTCTCCTTCCTTCTTGTCCAAGCCGTAAGCAATAGCAGCAGCAGTTGGTTCGTTGATGATTCTGACAACGTTAAGTCCAGCGATAGTACCGGCGTCTTTGGTGGCTTGTCTCTGGGCATCATTGAAGTAAGCTGGAACGGTGACGACAGCGTTCTTCACTTCGTGTCCGAGGTAGGATTCAGCAATGTGCTTCATCTTAGTGAGGACCATAGCCGAGACTTCTTCTGGAGTGAACTGTTTCGATTCAGATCCGACCTTGACTTCAACGGTTGGCTTGTTCGACTTGTCAACAATCTGGAAAAGAAAAAAGTTTGGAAATGTAACTCTCGAAAATGGTTTACCTTGAATGGCCAATGTTTGATGTCATCTTGAACGGTCTTATCATTATAAAAGCGTCCAATCAAGCGTTTTGCGTCGAAAATGGTGTTCTCTGGATTGATGGTGAGCTGGTTCTTGGCAGCATCTCCGATGAGCCGTTCTCCTTGCTCTCCAGAGAAAGCCACATAAGAAGGAGTGATTCTGTTTCCTGAAAGCCATGACTATGTTAATTTGAACTGTGATACTCAAGATACAAACCTTGGTCATTGGCGATAATCTCAACACGTCCGTTCTTGAAAACTCCAACGCACGAGTAAGTGGTTCCGAGATCGATACCGATGATGGTTCCTAGCTTCTCCTTGTCGGCTGCCTCTTCTTCACAGAATGCTCTTGCCACAAAGGCAAAGAGGATAAACGAGAAAACTTTCATTTTCTGTAGTGTTCTGGGAGCGGCCGAGTGAAATTTGTAATCGATTTTTCACTGATAGGCTGAAAATTACAAATAGAAAATTGCGAAAGATGTAAAGATGTAAAAGGGAAGCGATATAACTGCGGATATAAATTGAAACAGAGTAAAATAAGACAACAGTCGAGAGAGTAACAACGAAGACTGACTGCAGACGACCCGCACCCTCGCAGTTTTATTGAGGCCGCTTATGCAACGTGTATTAAGCGAAGGCGACGTGTCATAGTGCTGGCGATCTACTTTTATCTTCGAGAGCTTTCTGAGGACGCATCGAACAAACAAATGACGTGTGTTATTTGGGTTACGAAAGTTTCAGAACGTTGGAGAAGGGATGAAAGAATGAAGAAACGTATGAATGGTCAGGGGTTTAGCGCAAAGAATGTTCTAGAATAGGCGAGAAAGTTTTTATAATTGGGTCAACTGTCTTCATGATGTGGGCTTTTGATAAGTGGAAAAGAAACCGAAACTGGCCAAATGAAGAGGATTTTTTTGGTGATTTTAGTTATCCTGTGGGCGTGGCCAGAAGTGAACCATGCGGCGCTGTGTAACGCGTTGCGCAACGCCGCCGCAGAGTTTTCACCTAATTTTTTCGCGGTTCATGATGGCTTGCAATTGCAATGTTAAAATGAAGTAAATGCATTGAATCAGTAGATCAACTAGAAATTTGAAAAAAAATTTATCAACAAGGGATGCTCCATCCAAAAACATGCATTATTTTCAAATTTGTAACAAATGACATACAAAATAAATTAGCACACGAACGGGAAAAAAGACACGAAAAATACTCGTCATCATTAAGAGTATGTACTAAATAGTGAGGGGAGAACCGAAGAAAAAAAATAGGCCACCGAGAGAAATTAGGGGACAATGACATGGTTAGGGAGAATTCGGGGAAAAACTGGGTTATCAAACGAGAAGATCTATTCGTCTCCAACTTTGGCGTTCAGCATTTGGCGAGAGACAAGAGAATAATACATTCCATCAGTGTCGGTCATCAGATCATTGTGTGTACCCATCTGAAATTCAGGAATTACAACTCGATGAGTTGCTCTAACGAAGAATTTGGTTACCTGAACGAGGTGTCCTTTGACGATCACAGCGATTTTGTTAGCCTTCTCAATAGTCGACAAACGGTGGGCGATAATGATGACAGTTCGTTCTTGAGCACATTTGCTGAGAGCTTGCTGAACTAAAGCTTCAGACTCCGTGTCCAATGCACTGGTGGCTTCATCAAGAATGAGAACAGCCGGATTGCGCACCAGCGCACGTGCAATAGCGATTCGTTGCTTCTGTCCACCGCTCATTTGAACACCTTTCTCTCCACAGTTAGTGTCATATCCTTTCTCCAACTCCATCACAAAGTCATGAACGTTAGCCATCTTAGAAGCGTTCAGCATATCATCTTCAGTAGCAAAATCGCAACCGTAGAGAATGTTGTGACGAACGGATCCATTATAGAGAACAGGTTCCTGGGCTACTAGGGCTACCTGAAAAGTTTTGATATAATTGGAATCATATCATATCATATTTTTCTTACCTTTTGATGATAGAAGACGTGATTGATATCCTTAATCGGTACATCATCAAGTGTGATCGTTCCATTGTCGGGCTCATAAAAATGTTCGATGAGCGAAACGATTGAAGATTTTCCTCCACCACTTGGGCCTACGAGAGCTACCGTTTCTCCTGCTTTGATATTAAGAGTTAAATCCTTGAGCACAGGGTTGTTGGGACGAGATGGATATGTGAATCCGACATTGGAGAATGTGATGTTCCCATTGACACGTGGTTCGACTCTTCCATTCAATTCGAATTGAGGTTTGCGATCCACTAAGTCAAAGACCTTTCTAGATGCTCCAACTGCCTCCATCAATCCAGACATCACATACGATAGCATCTATTATTTTAGAACTTGCTTAGGTGGTTTGAACTTAAATAAAGAACTTACATAAAGGTTTTCTCCCAGTTGCATTTGATAAAGAAGGAAAGTAATCAATTCTTCCTTTCCCATCTTTCCAGTCAAAACGAGATGACCTCCATAGGAGAGGACTGCGATCAGAATGGCATTATCACAGAATTCGTTGTTCCAGGTGTAGCCCATGTAAGCGAGAGCGCGTTTCCGGTTGACAGTCAGTGTGCTCGACAAAAGATTCTCAAATCGCTTCTGCTCTCGTTTTTCACAAGCAAAACTTCTGACAGTTCTCATTGTCGAAATGACTTCTTCAGCCATTTGGTTCGCATCAGCGATTGTCTGTTGCAAGGTTTCCGAGATTTTCTGCAAACGGAGCTTGTTTCATGACCACAAAGGCTATTAAAACTCACATCGTAAAATTTGCTGTAAACTTTGGTGATGAACCCGACAAATGGGACTGCAATGAAAGTAACCATCGCAAGACGCCAGGACATGACAAACATGAAAACCAGAGCTCCAACGAGCATCACACCGTTTCGCATGAAAACGTTAACGTTCGTAGAAACTGTGGAAGAAATCGTTTGGCAATCAGAGGTGAGTCGAGACATCGTTTCTCCGGTTTTGGAAGTGTCGAAGAAAGCAATATCTTGACTGATAAGCGATGTGAAAAGATCCAAACGAATTCGAAGTGTGACAAGAGCTGTGGCGTAATCGAAGCATCCACCACGAAGGCCACCAAAGAAAGAACTAGTAGCTGTGAGAGCACACAGAATCAAGATCGAATGGAAGAGCGCATCGAATCCTCGTTGGTTCACGATGTCGGCAATGACTTGGGCGGTATAGTTTGGAATGAACACACGAGCTAAAAAGGACGTTGTTATGAAGCGAAATCAGTGTTTTTTCATTACCTAGAGCATAGATGTTGAGGAAAAAGAAGCCGGCAACAAACCATGGCCATTGATGTCCACAGTAGGAGAACAGCTGCCGGAGAACTTTTCGGAGTGGACGTCGAGGAGCGTTTGTGGGGAAAACTCCTGAAAATAGAAAATTAGACTCTCAATTATTCCAGAACCTCTAAAAAGGTCCATGATAGATCAGTGACTCACCATTTTCAACGCTGCTCGTAGATGTTGCTTCTGTGGTGGCGTCAGTTGCAGTTTCTACTGCAGGAACATCATCACTGTTAGCCGTTGTATTTAGCAATCGATGGTAGTCGAATGGATGAGAGGCGAGAACGAAGTACCACACGAGACCTTGAACAAATCCAGAGAGAATTGTCCATCCAACGGAAATATATACTCCAGGGTAATAAAGTTGTTCTGTATATTCCGAGAAAGCAAGGAATTTCACCAGGGAAAATGAATAGCTGAATACGGCATTGAAAGTGACGACTGGGAACAGGTACTTTGTCTTGTCTTTTTTGTCAAAAATGATAAGAAGCACAGCGATGACACATATGATTTGCCGGATGAACATGAGAATTTGGAATTCATACGGAGTCTTTGTGAAGCGATATGGCAGAGAAAATGTTGAAATATTCAGAAATGCTTCTGTGTCGAACTTCCAACCGGGTGAGAAGTAGCCAAACGACAAGTTCGTGAGGACCACATCAAATACCATATAGAGGTATAATGATGTGTTTATCCATCGACGCATCTGGAAACAACATAAATAATATAGCGACTTTCGAAAAGAGAAACGGTACACTTTTAAGCGATAAAAGTGTTTGTTAACTATAAAAAAAACCGAAAACCGACAAAAAAGGTTCCTCAAACCCGAAAACCGACAAAAAAGGTTTTGACTTTTTGAAACTTTTCATCAAAAATGAGGGATCACTGAGGTGAATGCAAGGAGAAACATTTGGCCATTAAGCGATAAAACTGTTTGCTCACCCTCTACAAAACACACCGAAAATCAAAAAAAAAAACATAAATGATGAGGTCAATGCAATGCAGTGAGGAAGAACAATAAATGGGCGGAGTCACGAGAGTCGGTTACGAAATTTGAGTGACTCATGGTTCTGGGAACGAGAAAACAGATTTTTGGTATAACATGAATAACAGAAAAATAGATTTCAGCTGTAATTGGTTTTGGGAGCTAAAAAAACATTTTCTAATTTTTCAGGTGTCCTTTTTTAAAGACAAATGGATATTGCAGGAACATAGTCCTTTCTGAAAATAAATGATTTATTCTGAAAAAACACATAATTATAGCCTGCTCATGTATAGAACAATTGTGAATTCTAATTATAGATCTCAATTTTAAAAGCTGATTTACAAAAAAATCCTAGAAGTCTCTGATCAAAGTACCGTCACCCTCTTGTAACTTTACGGTAAACCGCTCGCGCTGCGTTATTTCGGAGCATCGTAGTTCTCAACTCGTCTGCGTCTCCATTCGTAGACACTCTCTCGTTAGCCGCAATGAATTTCAGACATGATCCCGAATTGAAGAACAATTGCAGATGAATAGTGGGCGCAAAAACCTCCATCGAATCAGTCATGTGTCACTCATCAACCCCACCGAGACGTTTTGATGCGAAGCCCCAGAGCCCGGGGGGAGACACTCATTTATCTTTTTTATCATCAAGCAGCGGAGCATCACAGCGGATTTTTGGCTGATTTATATCTTCCATGCACCCACGAGAGAGGTGTTATTCTCGAGATCACACCGGGTTCTGCACTTTTCAGAATCACTTCCTCACTTCAGATTTATGGTAAACTAGACCCTTCCTTCTAATTTTCGGAAGAGAACTTAATGAAATTTCAAAGTTCGGTCCTTGCACTCATTATGACTAATCCTTTCGTGGGAGGAAAAATATAACATTGTTAACAATAACCTTCAGTTTCTACTCAATTTATTTGTGCTGTTTTTAACTGGGTTACTTGAGAATTTGCAGAACACAAATTCTCGTTTAAATCAGCTCCGAACTACTGTAGTTCAGTTCTTTCAATTTCAGTTTTTTGTGGAGAGTCATTTTTTTTAGTTCTCAAAGAATAACTAAAATAACTTTTATTTTTTGAATTCGAAATAGAAAAGATAAGAAGTACACAAATATTCCATTCTCAGTTCTCGTCCATTTATGAAAGCTTCTGGAAAATTCTGGGATTGTTTCCGAATTAACACCAAAGCTGAAAACTCCGAAAAATTAGGTGATTTTTTGGCGATTTTTCGAATGAAAAGGTTTATTTTTTCTTCAATTTTTTGCAAAATTTTTAGACCTTTTTAGGTTTTTCAGCTATCTTTGACTATTCTTTTTCTATTTTTCCGGTTTTCTGTCTAAAATTTGATGGAACGGTGTTCGTGAAGACGGCTGTAGATTACTGTAGAAAACTTATTTC